TCACTCTTATTTCCCAACTCTCTCTCTCTCTCTCTCTCTCACTCTTAAAACCTCACAAATCATACTGGTAATCTCACAAATTCTCCTCTCTCTCACTCGACTCTCCACTCTCTCTCGCTCGACTCCCACTTTGATGAAGATATGAAGATTTTGATCGATTGTTGATGAAGGTTTGAAGATTTCGATCTGCTGTTGATGAAGATTTAGATCGATTCATAATCGGTAAGCCTAATTTCTATGTATGAATCCAACTCTTTGTCTCTGTAATCCCTGTGTCTTTCTTTCAGCTCCCAAATTCTCTTCGACTCATAGCTTTGTTCGATTTCGAAGATCAACATCAACGGTAACAACATGAATTTTTTCCAATTCAATTTATTATTATCAATGCGGTGCAGATTCTGATTTCGAAACATCTTTTTGATTCGAAGATTCATTTTATTTTTTATTTTTATTTTTTTAGATTATTAAATCTTGATTTGCTTTGGCTTTAAAACTTGATCTGAGCATTTCTCTAGATTGTTTGCTAAATTTCATTTAGTTTTTGAGCCTCTTGTTTGTATGCTAAGAAAATTTTAGGAACCAACCGAATTTCAAACTTTTAGTATTATGCTTTTATGTTTGTTTGGCTAGAAAATTGAAGCTCACCTCAATTAAGGTAAAATATATATATATATATATATATATATTTGTTTTCCTGTGTCTACGTTACATTTTCTTAGCAACCAAACTGAGCATAATTTGGTTAATCTTTGACTGATTTTTCTAGTTTATAATCTTGTTGTTCTGCTTTGAATTCTTCTTGGTTACATGTTTTAGTCATAGTTGATTTCTATATTGCTCTGTTTAATTTTGATTTCAAGCTCTCTCTGCAGTTTTCAATTTCTATTTAGTTTGAGAAAGCTCAGAAGTAATTTAGATCTTGAATTAAATGATGAATTACTTGGTACTGATATCTTTCTCTCTCGTTTTTGAATTTGAATTCGATTCATATAGCTAAATGCATAGAGTATTGAATATTTGAATGTGTGTATCTATTGTCTTGCAAACATCTTCGTGTCACAAATAATAGTCATAAATAGGGAGATATTGATGTTTGTGGTTTGTTGAATTGAAATGTTTCACTATGAAGTGATAGATTTGGAATTGGTATAAAAAACAACAGGTCAAAACTTGGGCCCCAGCGCAAGCTTGGATCAGGTGCAAGCTTGGATTTGAGGAACATATATTTTCTGTAGAGAAATCTTTTCTTATTGTTAGTTCTCTTGCATATCTGCATGTGTTTATTTTTCGTAGAGAATTTTTGCATGTGATATTTTTGTAGTTTTCTTGATACCACAGCTGTTAAATTTAACTGAAACTTGTTGAAGTCAATGCTCATACTTGGGCAGATTGATGTTTTGCTTTGGCTTCATTTCTGTGAATATTTTATCTCTGGAAAAATCGTGATAAGTGGACAGAAAGAATGATAGTGAGAATTTATGCTGACCTGCTTATTTAGAGACCTATTTTGCCTTAAAGAAACATACATTAGAATTCTTAAATTATATTGAATTCTTCTGTCTTTATCGAATGATAAAATTGTGCCCCAGATTCCTCTTCTAGAATTCAAAATATAAAATGATCATTAGATCTTCATTGGTCTCAACCTTCCAAGTCCAAAACCAGAAGGTATTATAAGTTGACATTACTACTGCCATTATTGTTGCCACCATAATTACTGTTGTTGTTTCTTAGATGCCCATGTCACTGAAATAGGGCTTCTAACCCTGGAAAGACCTTTGTCAAAGTGCACCCATATCAAATGCCCTTGAGTAGAGCTTATATTTTTGTTGTTATTTTCTTCCTTGAAATAATCCAAACTCTGTAACTCAACTGCTGGTTCGTATATTTGAATATTAGTCGTTGCGGTTTAACTCTTACTTTGACTCCTTCAGGTTCCACTACTTCGACCGAGTAAATAGAATTAGGACTCCCTACATTTGTCAATTGCCTTTTGATCACCTTACTCATCTTCCTGGACGTGAACATCACCGAAATCGAGGGATAATTTATGCTAAAACCCCTGTTCTCCAGCAAAGTCTCATGGCAACTCACATTCCTGTGAGTAATTGTGAAAATTTCTAATTTTGTGTATCCCAGGGTGCACAGATGAGTGAAATACTCATCTGGCCTGATATCATATACCAGTCCTGGATTGATGGCTCTCTTGGGTCCAGCTCCAGTCGCGAAAACTCCTGTAGGTTTGTCTCCATCCATTATTGGCCTTCTTGAATGGTTTGTGATTTTCACTGTTGTCATGATTGCAGATTTAATAGCTACTGGGGTCTATGTTGGATGAGCTAAGTGAATCAGAGCAGCAATTCCACCGACATGTGGACAAGCCATGGAAGTCCCTGACATGACAGTGAAGTTCACTCTTCTAGAATCTTCTGGAAGAGCGCTGGGGCCCAAGTTTTGAGGCCAGGCAGCGATGATGTTCACTCCAGGAGCAAGATTGGATTTGAGGAACATATATCTCGATGGTGAGTTTTTTGTACATCTCTTATTTCATATAGGAATGATGTTCACTCCAGAATCCCTATATTTAACATTTTAAACTGATTTTTGGTATCTGAAATCCATACCCACTAAAAAAAATTATCATTTCATGAAGAGAAATTGGCTTCATAATTAAATTGGACAAATAAATAAATACAAATAAGAAAAGATGAATTTGATGACTTGGGAGTGAACATAGCACAAATTCGTGTTGTTAGTGGGTGACTCCATTGAAGGAGGTGTAGAAGGCTTTTTTGTGAGTGGATTTTGAAATTGACTCAAAGCTAGTGTACCTCTTTATTTGTTTCAACTAACTTTAATATGTAGAAAGCACTTTGATTTCTTCATCTCTGAATCTGTTCTCACTGTTCCGTCAGAACTTGGTCGTTGATTTTCCCATCTTATGTGAGTTCACAGTCAATAAATGTGCAGTGGATTTATTCTGTCTTCTCTTACGTTGAGTTCCCACAAGGATAATGTAGTTGCAGATAACAGTACTGATCATGTGGCTTGGTAGGTTGTTAAAACAGTATCAGATATGTTTTTGCTTGTCCTTGACATCTTGGTGTATATTTATAAAGGTCTTTAAGATGACTGCTAATGTGATGCTCAATATTGCTGGAGCTGATTGGAGTTAAATTTATCTGTTGTAGGACACAATAACTGGATTTTTACTGGCTGGAGTAGGCAATGTGGATTTGCGGAGAAAGACAAATTACCTAATTGTGGACTTAAGTATGCTTTTGAGCTCCAAATGTTGTGAAATTTTAATGTTTTAGGCATATGATGAATTGAAAAGCTATCTCCAATAAATGACTGGATGGTCAACATACTTTAATTTTATGATAAAAGCATTAAAGCCTGTTAGTTACTCTTGTCATTTATGTTGTAGATTTTGTTTCTTTGTAACAGAATAAGCAGCTAAGGAGATTCAAAATTTGCTTTAAAATTGTTAAGAGAGAGAGAGAGAGAGAGAACTTGAAACTACAAACGTTTCAGATGCTGTTATACTGCTCCAAATTTTTGTTCTTGCCCTGTATCCTTAGTTATGGAATTAGAATCTGTCCTTTCCCCCGAGTTAATTTCAATTCAATTGAATTTTTGGATATTCTTATTTTGGCTTATAAATGTTCTTTTATTATGGCTTAGAAACAACTGTTAAGCAAATTGAAGAAGCATTCAAGGCGTTTACAACAAGAGAAGACGTTGCAATAGTGATGATCAGCCAATATGTAAGTTTTTGTTCTACTCTGTCATATTTTTGATTGATTTTAATGCTCTTATGTGGTATGACTTATGCATATGATTATAGTGCATGCTTATACCCTATCAGATGTATGATGAGCACCCTAAGATGCTTCTTTTTTCTTTTTCTTCTTCATTTAAATTCTATCATGTGAATGAGAAAAAAAATTAAAAGTTTATGATGAATAAGTATGGGTCGTGTCACAGATTTAGCATGTTACATTAATGTTTTAGTCAATGGAAGTTTGGTGCTGAATTTACTAATGCTTCCTAAACTTCAAGTTAAACCTTTATTGCAACATTCATATAAATCACAAAGTTCCACAATTATTATAGTCTGGTAGTAAGAGACGAATGAGTACATTGATTTTGTGGTGGTGTGATTTTTCATTTGTCATTTGATTCTGTGGATAAAACATTGTCTAATGCAACAATGTTCATTTTCAGGTTGCAAACATGATAAAGTTTTTAGTAGATAGCTACAACAATCCAATTCCAGCAATTTTGGAGATTCCTTCCAAGGACCATCCTTACGATCCAACACATGATTCTGTTCTTTCAAGAGTGAAGTACTTCTTCTCTGATTTTCCCATTTTATGTGTTGTATGCTTGAATGTTTGTTCTTTCTTTATTTATTTCTAATTTGGATTTGCAGATTCTAACAGTTTGTGGGGTTACTCTCTTTGTCTCTCTATCTCCCCCTTAAAATTTTAATTTCAGTTCAACTATTACTATTAGATCACCAATTTCAATATTTTAAGCTTACTAGTATTGGTAATGAGTTTTTGAAAGTCTTAAAACATTTTTTGCCTAGGTCAGTTTAGTGAAAGGTTAGATCTTTTGTGGAATTGATTAAGACTACACCATAATGGTAATGGGATAATTTAATCTCCTAGTACGCATCTTTTAACATTTTTGCTTTATTATCCATCTCACTAGCTAGTGGGGTAACTTGGTATTTTAGTAAAGAGTATATTCCCTTGCGTTAATATGGAAATTTTAGGCGTCACATGACCATTAATTTGTTATTAATGTAACATTTTTCAGGTTTTTATTTTTTTGGTCAAATTGATGAAATGAAATATATGAAGCTTGACACTTCATCTGTCGATTTTGTGTTTCAGATGCTAGTTGATGATATTGGTGATACGTCTCTATGTTTCTTCTCCTTTGTCGAAACACCGGGATACGTCCCTATGTTTCTCCTCCTTGTTCATAACATTGGGATACGTCCCTAATCCTTGGGATGCGTCCCTAATCCTTGGGATACGTCCCTAACCTTTGGGATACGTTCTTAACCCTTGGGATACGTCCCTAATTCTTGGGATACGTCCCTAACGAATATATATATGATTGCAGGTTTTGTTTTGTTTTGTTTTTTATTTTTTTTGTTTTTTTTGTTTTTTTTTGCGACGGTAAGAAGATGGTCACTAATACATTGTAGGCCTTTTTTAAACTCTTTTGCGACGGCAAAATATCAGTCGCTATAAGTAGGTTAGACGGTCGCAAATAATTTGCGACTGTTATTTTGCGGTCGCAAAAAGTATTTGCCACCCCCACATTCGCGACCCTCATTTGCCGTCGCATGGGCCGTCGCAAAAAGTCTTTTGCAACTGTTTTTTTATTATTTGCGACGGCTTGTAACGGTCGCAAAAAGTACTTTTTTTAGTAGTGTATATATATTATATAATATGGATATTTTGATAATTCACAGCCAAAACAAAAAGTGTGTACTATATATTTATAATTTTTGTGATTTTTAATTATAATTTATTATGGTGTTAGTTATGATTTGGTTATGATTTATTGTGGTGTTGGTTATAATTTCGTATCATATGCCCAAATTACAATCTTTGTAATATTTGGTTTTTACCTATTATGATTTTGATTATGACTCATTATACTGTTGGTTATAATTTCATTATAATAATTGTTATTTTGATTATAATTGAAGATATCTTTATTATGTCTTTGGTTATGACCCTTAATTATAACTCATTATGATATTAGTTATGATTTATTATGATTGTTATTTTAATGATGACCATAAAAGTCATTAGTTATACCTCAAATGATATTTATGATCTAAAGTGATTTAATTATAATACTTTGTTAACGCCACAAAATATCATAACTAGAGAAAATGCTTGAGTATATAATGCACACCGTATAAATCTTAACAGAAAATTGTATAAATTTTTACAAATTTATATAAATGATCTTACAAAAATATATAAGTTTAATACAAATTCAGGGAGGTGAGTTAACTTAAATATTTCTTTTATGTGGTATATATAATGTGAACTTCAAGAATTATAAGATTATAGAGATTTGATTGGAGTGAGAGAAAGTTGTTTTAATTAAAGTCAAATTTTAAAAACAAAACTAGCTAATTGGGGTTTTCTACAAGTGGATATTTACAAACAAAAAAATATTAGAATAAATTGTTTTTGAATGTTTTAAATATGTAGTCAATGAATTCTGAGGCAAAACATACATAGACGGGGAATTTATTATAAAATTCTTTTTTTTTTTATCTCAATTAATTTATAAGATATTTTTATATTTTGATAAATCATATTATTTTGGATATTTGATTTATAAAATCTTAATTATCATATTTAAGATATTTAAGAATAATTTTACCTTTATAAATATTTTTTGAGCCCTTAATAACTTAGTGATGTGAACATTCACATTAAATAAATTTGACAATGTAAATATTCACTCATGAAATATTTACATTGTTAATGTGAATATTGATACGCACTTCACCATATTATTATTAGGGATATTTTGGTAATTACGTCACTCGCAAAACTTATTGGAATATAAAAAAATAATTTAAATTGAGTGAAATATAAGTATGCGAACATGAATTTATGAAATAATGCACCAAATAAAAACGTGCAAAGAGTAATATTTATAACGAAATTAATGTTTGAAATATTCAAAATCATTCTTCAACTTATAGAAGTGGTTAATGTCTTACTCAATGAATTTGTGGTACTTTGTAAGATAGATGTTTTCTATTTTCAAAATCTTTTCAATTCCCTGACTCGTTGCCTAAGGTCACGTGTCCGTCATCACCAAAGTTGCCTCGGCTCGGGAACTTGGGTACGATTGGGGAAGGTCATCTACGAGCACCCCCGCTCGCCTGATCCAAAGATCGGCCTGTACTAAACATGATATCTGGTTTTTGAAAACACATGCGTTCTTATTCCGGTTAATTAGCTAGAATTTACTATGTGATGCGCACAACACACAAGTATAAACTAGATCACCTAATTTGGAACAAAGCATCGTATATTCGTTTGTTTGGAAATGGTTTGAAGTTTGCTACTTGCAAGTTGGCTAAAACACGAATTTCAATGAATTGTCCCAATTCAAGTAATCCAACCTTCACCCACAGGCATTCAGGCAGTTATATCATATAAGCACTTAGCCTCATGGCAAGCATGCTGTCATGTTAACACTCACATATATGCAAGATGCTAATGCATAAACACTCACAGTGTACTCTGAGCCAAAACAAAGAACATGTTGGTAATCAATGCATGATCCTAGTTCATGTTAAAATGGCTAATGCAACACATACAAAATGCAACTAGAATAGGCTCGGCTAGTCTAAAATGACATGTGAGATGCGACAATTCGATACATGTATTCAACTTAGAATTGAAATACACTATGAGAGGCCATCGGCCAAGAGGAGTGGTCATTGACCAATGGGAAGGTTCCATCGACCAATTATGATGCTATCGACCAACAATGGTTAGCGGACCGGTACTGAAGATGGCCAATCGGCCATATCTTCCTGCAGAATGCTGTGTTGCTGCAGCAGAGGACAAACAGAGCATGGCAATACATTTGCAAGACAATGTTTGGACGACCACTCTCCTTATCATGTTATGAACTCCAGGGAGTATAGTCCTCGACCCTCGAACCACCAATCACGCATTTCAATGCATGATGGCCAAAGGAGCCGAATGTCCAATTTATATCAAATGAAATGCACATAAACACATAAGGGCCCCCAACCTCTATCATGGTTGATCAAGAGGGAAGGGATGCAATCATGCAAGAAAAACTAATGCAACATGAAGCATGTCAAGGACAATGCCATACAAGGCTAATGGTAATAAGCATGCCAAATGCAATGCAACCTAAACAAGCATGCAAACATGCAAGGCATGTGACAATATTCAAGGATAGGCAATCATGTAACAACATGTGGGTTAAGCATGCAACAACATGCAAGGGACAATACATGCAAACATGCAAAGCAACTTAACAAAAGGGGCATGCCAAATGCGATATAACTCAAGTATGCGACAACATGCAATAGGCCAAGTATGCAACAACATGCAAGGCAAGCATGCAACAACATGCCATAATGGTTTTAAACCAAAATGGACAGCTCTCAAATAGGTCCAAGAAAGTGGCCAAAATGCAATGGAAATGAGGACAAAAACACATACAAACATGCATGCCAATTGGCCTAACACTTAAGCATAGTAGAACAACTCTTAAGCACACTTAAAAGAGGATAAACATGGACATGTGACAAACATGTTAAGCTCTAAAATCGTGTTAGGAGAGGTGCCAAACCGACCAAAGTACATAAGCAAAGCATGCAAGAAAGCTTCAAGCTTGAAACTAGCGAAAGGGTTCAAACCATGGCTATACAAAGCAAGCCCCAAAGGGCTAAGAAGACCTAAAATGGTCCTAAGGTAGGTCCAAACAAGACCGAAAGCAAGCTCAAAACTAGCCAACACAAGCTAGAACATAATGCCAAAACATGAGGCATGCAAGGCTATCAAAGATGGTGTTACACTACACCTATCAAAACCAAACATGGCATGATTTAAGCAATGAAAAACAGAGTTATGGCATGTCAAAGTAAACCCCAAAACTCACTTAGATGGCATCCCAAAGACCTAAACATGGTGGCATATACAATGGCACATTCATGAGGCATAAAACACAAACCCTTTAAAGCATTAAAGGAGTGACAAATGCAAGTACATGAGCATACTATATGGAATGAAATAATATTACAAGTGATGCCAAACCACTGAAATGATCCGAATAGAGCATGCTAGTGACTCAAACACCCAAAGCTAACAAGCTAGATTGCATGGTAGCTATACAAGACAATGTCAGCATGACCAAAACAATGAAAAACAGAGCTCAAGCATGTTAAAATAGGCCTAGAAGCTTCATGGAGTTGAGCCAAAACATGCAAGCATGATAGTCTAAATGCTAGATACATGTTAAGGCAAATGAGGGGATTGAAAGGTAAGTATATGGTGCATGTGAGAGACTACTAAACCAACTTTAAACAGAGGTAAATCATGGCAAAACAACACCAAATACTTGCTGAAATGAAGCTAAAACAAGCTAGGCATACAAGCCACCAACATAAGCCACTTATGCTAGTATTCAAGATGACAAGGAGAGGGGATATCCCCTCTCCTATTTAAGACACCAAAACCCCCTCTCCACCACTGAAAATCCTTTAGATTTCAGTGGTAGAGAGGCCATGCAAAGCTAAAAGCAAGGGCTAAAAGGGATGGCCTAAAACAAGGCCTAACAAGGCCTTGGAGGGGGTAAACAACTCGAAACCTCAAAATGACCTTAAACAAAGTTCAAAATCAAGTAAAAACAGAACTTTTATCAGTTAATAGCTAAGCTTAAAACAATAAGCAAGAAGGGCTAAAAGCCTAAGCAAGAAAGGGGTATCTAAAGTAAGAATGCTCACCCTTGAAGAACACCTTCAAGAACACAACACCAGCACCTTTCTCTGATCAAAACCACTCCAAGAGCCCTAACAACAACTCCTTAGAACCTCAGCAACCAAGGATGGTGTAATGCTAGGTGTTTGTGTGCAATAATGTGAACAAAAATCACTTTAGGTCACAAATACACACACAAATGATAGAGATAGGGAGATACAACTTCTTCTAACCCTAATTTTAGAACCTCTGAGAAGGGAGGAGGGCCTCCCTTTTTATAGAATTCCATTTTGCAAAGTTTCTTGGAGAAGATAAGCAAAGGGAAAATCCCTCCATACACGTGTATAGAGGGGGTTAATTGTGGATGCCAGCTGTGCCAG